TTCTCTAGAAAATAGCTGGTTTTCTAAATCTGTACAACGGGTAGATTGATATTTTTTTTGTCGTGCCAAGAGTGACTTGAGAAACTGCAAGTTGCTTCTGGTGTGAAAGAATTGGCTGTCTGCAAGGATGTTGCCCAGGGGATGCCTGGATGTTTTGATGTTTTACCATCCTTGTGGGAGGCTTCTCTCATGTTCCCGCATGGGGAGCTGGAGCTGACAGAGGTAGCTCATCCACACTCTCCCTGGATTCAAACCTCTGACCTGTCAACCTTCAGTCCTGCTGGCACAAGGATTTAATCCACTGCACCACCTAAATTCTAGATGTGAATTATTCCCAGCATCCCTCCCTGCCCCCACCCTCTTTCTACAATGCTGGAAATTTAGGGATTGAAGAAAACTTTCATGGGGGTTAGACAGAATTCTTCATTTTGGACCCCCTGTAGCTATTTCCCTGGCACCAGGACACGCTTTGTTTTGCTCAGATGGAAACTAATGTTTTCAATGGCAGTTCTTCCATAATGTCAAGGTCCAGCCAATGGAAATAAAATGAACTAAACTCAAATGAAATGTGACAGGCTGCTCGTTGGGATGTATTCTTAAGTAGGTAAGACATATTATCTCAAACTAAATTTCCAAGCGTTTCCTTTGATTGAGTGGAAAAACTCTCTTTTAATTTAGCTCATCTATATTTCTTGCCTTTTATAGCTTGTACTGCTGCATCTTGCCATATGTGAAACATTTCTGAAAGGTGTCAAAATGGCTTGTCATGGGCTTGGAATGAGAGTGAAATGAAATGTCCGTATCGTAGCATACTTATATAAATAAGGAGAGATTCCAATGTAAACCTTTCGTTTGGCAGTCATTTCTCCATCAGCAAGCAATAAGTGATACAGAACGCATAGTTTTCCCATACACATGCACCCCACATACCAAGATCAGGAAGGAGAATATGTAATTTTAGTAATTTTAATATTAAAAGCCAGCTTCTTTCATTTTTTTGTAACTGGAAAAATATTTTTAGTCCTTGGATGTATGGTTAGAATGTTTAAAAAAGGTTTTCTGGACATAGGGGTTGGGTGTCTCAGTTTTCCTCTCTTTTAAAAGTTCTTTCCATCACTTTGAAACCCAGATGGTGAAAATGGGGACTAGTCATTAGTGGATGTCAAGAATTATTTATGATGGGAAGTTCACTGTCTTTGCCTTTAAAAACAACAGAATGTATGAAATGAAAACTGTATGGAACAATATAAAAACATATTTACTGCAGAACTTTTTGGAAATTTCAATTTTATAAGATTCTTCTATTATATCACCATGTTGCTCCCTCTGACTTGTCTTTCATACAAATTATTTCTTAAAGCTCCAGTGAACCTTTGGGAAATGATGTGCTGCAGAATTATCATAAATAAATGTGCACGCACGGAAACATTTGTATGTTTTTTGAAATCATTAGAGCTGGCTGTGGGAATCGTTAAGTGCCTTTCCTCTTAAGCATATATTTTTATTTAGTATAATTTTATCCCACCCTTTCCTTAAGGCATCCAGGACACCATATGGTCTCTGTTCCTATCTTCCTGTGAGATAGGGTGGGCTGACAGCAATTGGTTCGCATTTTATCCAATGGAGTGTTAGTGCTGAATGGGGAATTGTATCCAGGCCTCCACTGCCTGGCTACTCAAAGTATTTCTGGACTTAATTTCCTACCCATGGCTGATGATCTGGAGTTTTAATAGGGCACATGTATTTGAGAGTCAGCATGGTATATAATGGTTTAAGTATTTAGATACGAGTCTGGAGACCAGGATTTGACTCTCCGTTTGGCCATGGAAACCCACTGGGTGACTCTGGATTAATCATACACTCTCAACATCAGAAAACCCCATAATAAATTAAGCATAGGTTGGAAACTACTTGAAGGAACAGCACCACCACCACTGCAACAACAAGAACAACAACAACAAGGAACATGTATTTTAATTTTAATCTGTTGAAGCAGAACTTAGAAAAATTACTTTGGGGGCTACAACTCACAGCACACCATTGCCAGAACATGGAAATAGATTTTTTTATTCATCGTATCAGGAGCGAACCAAGGGTACAGTTGTAATGTATTTTAAAAACACAGTGTTTAAAAAACTTGGCAGTATATTAAATGTCCTTTGACCAGTAGCTGGCCACTTGGAGTGCCTCTGGTGTTTCTATAAGAATGTCCTCCATTGTGCATGTGGCAGGGCTCAGACTGCATTGTAATTGGTTGTCTGTGGTTTGCTCTTCTCCACACTCGCATGTTGTGGACTCCACTTGGTGGCCCCATTTCTTAAGGTTGGCTCTGCATCTCATAGTGCCAGAGCATAGTCTGTTCAGTGCCTTCCAAGTTTCCCAGTCCTCTGTGTGGCCAGGAGAGAGTCTCTCATTTGGTATCAGCCATGGATTGAGGTTCCAGGTTTTAGGCTGCCACTTTTGGACTCTCACTTGCTGAGGTGTTCCTGCAGGTATCTCTATAGATCTTTGAAAACTATTTCTTGATTTAAGGCATTGGTGTGACCAGAAGTGACTTGCAGCATGGAAACAGGTGTTAAGAAGGTTAGTCTCACCTCGGGGTGAGAAAAGCGGTATACAAATACTGTAAATAAATAAATTAATTCATCTCTCTGAGTGTTGTTCACCAAGCCCTCTCAGCAGCAGCAGGCATGACCTTCGGAGCAGGCAGGTGGAGCTGCAATAGTTGATTGAGATTCTATTCCCATGGCATATTCCATAGTTTTCTGGGTTTTGATATGTTTATTAGAATTTGGGTGGCCAGGTTCGTGTATTCTATTGGTGTATTGTTTGTCCTGCTATTCAATAGTCTCCTTTCCTGACCTAGCTGGAATGATCTGAGTTGATGTTTGAGTCTCCCGGGCTTGTTGTGCTGGGAAAAATCAACATCCATATTGTGGTCAAGACTTCATGTCTAACATGACAACACCGAGTTTATCTCAAGTTATATCTGGCCCTACTCATGCTGCTAGACACTCTCTGGATCTCGTTTTCTGTGCAGGATGGGATGATGGTAATCTGAAAGTGGAAGAACTCTCTATAGTTCCTCTGTCATGGACAGACTACTACCACGTGGGGTTTAGACTTGCCAGGGTTCGTAAATGCTTCAGGGACAGGAGATCTGCCCCAGAAGGCTTGTATGTCTGTCTAGATTCCTGATGTCTCTTGTGGAGTTTCCTGCTGCCTTGGCAGATGATTCTGTCAAACTTGTAGCTAACCTCTGTAATAGGAAAATGGCCAAGATAGTGAACAGGATTGCTCCTAAACATCACCTCTGACAAAGTGGAGTCCTTTGCTTTTCCAGGGAACTATTGGTGATGGAAAAAGTGTGAAGGCAAGTAACTCAGAATGGATCTAATCAAGCACAGGCTAGAGTTTGTGCAATTTCTTCTCCACCTCTATTACATGTAAAAAGAGTTGACTAGCAGAGCTGTTTCAAGTGGTATGGGGTTTTCTTTACACATAGATTAAAATCTTGACCATTAAGTAGCCCAAGTGAAAACCTTGTTTAGCACTTTAGGGATAAAATTGCTCCACTCTAACTTGACTGATATAGATCCAACTCTAGCCCATGCTTGTGGCATTATTGTGGCATTTCAATCTGTGCAATCAGAGAATGTGGACATGATTCTTGGAAAGGTGATATCTACCATATGTGTGGTTTACTTCTTGTGAGAAGAGCAATGACCAATCTCGATAAAACAGTGAAGAGTAGAGACATCACACTTGCAATGAAGATCTGCATAGTTAAAGCAATGGCATTTCCCATAGTAACCTATAGATGTGAGAGCTGGACCATAAGGAAGGCTGAGTGAAGGAAGATAGATGCTTTTGAACTGTGGTTTTGGAGGAAAATCCTGAGAGTGCCTTGGACTGCAAAAAGATCCAACCAGTCTGGGAAGTAAAGCCCAAATGCTCAATGGAGGGAAGGTTATTAGAGGCAAAGATGAAGTACTTTGGTCATATAATGAGAAGGCAGGAAAGCTTAGAGAAGACAAGGATGCTGGGGGAAATGGAAGGAAAAAGGAAGAGGGGCCAACAAAGACCAAGACGGATGGATGGTGTCTTTGAAGTGACTGGCTTGACTCTGAATGAGCTGGGGGTGGTGATGTCCAACAGAGAGCTTTGGCGTGGGCTGGTCCATGAGGTCACGAAGAGTCAGAAGTGACTGAATGAATAAACAACAACAAACTAAAAAAAAGCTGGGGTGGATGTGTGGGTGAGACTGGCCAAGTGGTTAATGTCTTGGTAAAACAAGATGATCTCAGCTTGCTTGAAGGAGGTAGTTATACAATTGTTTTAAAAAGTTGTTCCTGGATCCCATCTTTCTGGATTATTGACCAGTCTCCATCATTTCCCTTTTAGGCAACGTTCTGAAGCACTCTCAGCTCCAGATGTTTATGGATGAGAGACAAATTATCTAGATCAGTTTCAGTGTTGTTTCAGGCCTAGTTATGGAACAGAGATGACTTAGGTCATCCTGATGGAGGACTTATGGCAGAATCTAGAGGGAATATGACCTTGCTAGTTCTGCTGGACCTCTCAGCAACTTTCACTGCCATCAGCCACAGCATCATTCTGGGCCACCTTGCAGAGACAGAACTTGAGCGCACTTTTTACAGTGACTGCATTCATAGAATCATAGAATCAAAGAGTTGGAAGAGACCTCATGGGCCATCCAGTCCAACCCCCTGCCAAGAAGCAGGAATATTGCATTCAAATCACCCCTGACAAATGGCCATCCAGCCTCTGCTTAAAAGCTTCCAAAGAAGGAGCCTCCACCACACTCCGGGGCAGAGAGTTCCACTGCTGAACGGCTCTCACAGTCAGGAAGTTCTTCCTAATGTTCAGATGGAATCTCCTCTCTTGTAGTTTGAAGCCATTGTTCCGCGTCCTAGTCTCCAAGGAAGCAGAAAACAAGCTTGCTCCCTCCTCCCTGTGGCTTCCTCTCACATATTCCTTGTAGATTAGGCTAACTATGGAATAAGGCAGGGGAATAGGCAAACCCAGAAAGGAATATTAAGGAATTAGTGCTTGAGCTCTTGACTGTTGGCCTGTGGAGTTATTCAGGGCCTGTTTCTGCTTCCATGCTATTGAACATATATGTGAAACTGCTGGGAGAGGTTGTGTGGAGGTTTTGGGATTTGGTGGCACTGGATTGCATGTGACACAACTCTATTACAATTTTCCACCACAAATCAAGGAAGCAATTTTTGATCCTGAACTGATGTTTGTTGCTAGAAATGAATTGGACGAGGGTGAACAAATAAAAAGTTAATACAAACAAGACAGAGCTGTTTCTGGTTGATCAAAAGACAGATTAGGGAATAAGGATTCAGCTGGTACCAATGGGTTTATTTTCCCTGTAAAGATTATACTCCACAGCTTAGGGGTGCTCCTGGATTCAAACTTGAGCCTGGGAGCTCAGGTTTCAGTGGTGCCTGGGAGTACATTTGCAAAGTTAAAGGTTGTGTGCCAGCTGTGCCTGTTTCTTGAGATATCAGATGTGCGCATGGCGACACTTCCTTTAGTTACATTTGATTAATGTAACATGCTATACATGAGACTACCTTTGAAGAGTGCTTAGAAACTTCAGCTGGTCCAAAGAGCTGCAGCCCGATTGCTAACTGGGGTTGTAACTCAGACATGGGATTCCAGCCTTATCACACTAAAGCTTAAAGAGTAGGCAAGACGTGGTCATGGGAAAGCCAGTGGTGGGTTCCATCTAAATTGGCGCTACTTGCTGTGGCATCTTTCTCCATGTTGATGGATCATAAACAGCTGTCAAAGAAAGAGGAGGAAGTTTAGGAATCATGAATTATGACCCCTTCTACACTGTCATTTATCCAGGATCTGATCCCAGGTTATCTGCTTTAAACTGGATTATATGAGTCTCCACTACCAGATAATCTGGGATAAGCAGATAATCTGGGATCAGATACTGGGATATAGGGGCAGTGTGGCAGGAGCCTATGTTGCCCTCCCAAAATGTGGGCTACTGATTTTTTTAACGGTACCAATAATAGTCATTTTTTTGTCATTGCACTCAACATGCAAATCCCCCAAAACTCTCAGACACATATCTTGGAGAACAAATTCTAATAATAATAAAACTTTATTTATACTCCACCTCTATCTCCCCAAGGGGACTCAGGGCAGCTAACATGAGGCCAAGCCCAACAGTTACAATAAAGCAAAAGAATACAACAAAAAATCATAAATTAATACAACAAATAGAATACAATAAAATCAAAGAAAAATAATATAAAATAAGCATAAGGTAAAACATAAATAATCAAGTGGGTGGGGCCAGGCCCGTAGCCAGGATTTTGTTTGGGGGGGGCTGAGTCTGAGTGAAAGAGAGTCTAGCCTAGCAAACCTTTTGTATCGTTACCCCAATACCCCCATGCATATGAGATATATTGAGTATAGTGATCAGATAATGATAGAATAAACATAGCAGTTTAAATAATGCACCAGTAAGGCCTTCTCATGAACCACCATCAGAATTTCAGGGGGGGCTGAAGCCCCCAAGCCCCCCCCCCCCCCCCCCCGGCTATATGCAAATACAACTAATAGGATTTTTAAAACCCTGGGTGAGATGGATGAGTAGGGTGATATATCTGGCAGGAGGTTCGGATGGGACAAGCAATGGGATTTAGTTCACTGAAGGGTGAGATAAAGTGCATCAAAAGACATTATGTACTGAGTTGGTCAGGCTGAGGGATTTGTTGTTTAATCCTTGAAGGCACACCGGAACAGCCTCTTCCTGAAGGCTGGCAGTGTGGATGCTTGGCTAATCTCAATGGGTAGCGAGTTCCAAAGTCTAGGGGCAACCACAGAGAAGGCTCTCTCCCTCGTCCCCATAAGTCGCACCTGCAACCGAGGTGGGAGTGAAAGGAGCTCTCCCCCCCCCCCCCCGGATGATCGAAGGGATTGTGCAAGAGCATAGACATGGATACAGTCATGAAGGTAGGTGGGTCCCAACCCGTGCAGGGCTTTGTAGGTGGTAACCTGTACCTTGAATTTGGACTGGAAAATAAACGGCAGCCAATGGAGCTCCTTAAACAGGGGGGTAAACCGCTCCCTGTAATTCGCTCCAATTAGAAGAGAGGCCACAACTTTATTTGGACAAGGATTGGCCTACATATGAGTCTGGAATCAGGCATTGACTAATATGACTAGTGACTGGTAAGTATATAAATCTGGCTTAGAATAGATCCCCTAAGATAACCTGAGATGCACCAGTTGGATTAAATTCCACCATGGTCACTCAGCCACCAGGAAATGTGGAAAGCATCCACCTACCATTCGGCAAAATGTTTCCAAACATACATCTTGCAACACCTCCACTGAGACCTTCTTATACCACCACCACCGCCAGCAACCTTGACCGTCAGAGTAAGTTGGGCATCATGTTTATTGTACGTCTTCAAGTAATTGAACAACTCCCATGATTCAATAGCACTGCAGTAGGGCAGTTAAACTTGTGTCAAACTGCATTATTTCTATAGTACTGATGCACCCATTATGAGAGAAAAAAATAGCACATAAATGTAAGCATTAATTAAAGAGTAAATGAATGCTGGAAGAATGTGCTCTACATTCTACAATGCAATTCCAGCTGCCTGGTTTTCCAAACTGTCATCTTAATAGTTACTGCATTTTTTTAAAAAACCTAGCCCATTAACCAAATTTATCCTGTAGCTCTTGTTTTGCTACGGCCAATTAAAATTCAGTCAAATTATAAAATGAAATAAGAAAGTCTAATGTCTAATGAGACAAAAGAGAAGTGGTGATTCTTTTGGAGTATCATTTATCGCTCATAATGGGCTCTTCGATGCCTGCTAATTTGACATCATGTTATTTTTCAAAAGTGCCTCTCATCCAATCAACATCCCTATGAAAAGTCTGTCTAACTGACGAAACAACGCAGCCATATCAAGCAGTGACATCTGGCACAGGTACAAATGAAATCTGTGAGCCTCATTCGTCTTAGCGGCTGCTTGCCAAGCACTCTAAAACAAAAACATTCTAAATCTCCTCCATATTTTGATGATGAAAGATTAAGACAACATAATTCACTTGGAGTTTAATATTTCATGCTCCAGTTCTAAAACAAGTTGTTGTTTGGAGCAGTTTGCTTGCTTGTTTGTTTGTTTGTTTGTTTATATAGTTTAGGATTTGATGAGAACAGTCCTGATTAATCTTCTTCTGTCCCACTTTTTCAGCTGCTTTTAAAATGTCTCTCTTCAACTTTCCTCTTTTGTTCCCAGTTTACTTCCATTGCCGCAACCTGGATTCAAAGTACAAATATAATTTGTACTTGGTTAACTCACTAGGGAAGACAGAAAAAAAGGAAGTATCCTTTCCAATAGGTTCAGGCAGAAGCAAATGGATTTAGCCAATCTAAGATTAGCCACTACTACTACTACTAATAATAATAATAATAATAATAATAATAATAATAATAATAATAATAATACTTTATTTCTAAACCGCCCTCTTTCCCCGAAGAGACTCAGGGAAGGTGCACTTTTTATTTGTGAAACTGAAGGTAAGATTTCCCCTGACATTAAATCTAGTCATGTCCAACTCTGGGAGGTGGTGCTCATCTCCATTTCTAAATTGAAGAGCCGGCATTGTCCATAGATGCCTCCAAAGCCATGTGTCCAGCATGACTGCTTGGAGCGCCGTTACCTTCTCGCCAAAGTGGTACTCATTGATCTACTCACATTTACATGTTTTCAAACTGCTAGATTGGCAGAAGCTGGGGCTAACAGCAGGAGCACACCCCACTCCTTGGATTCAAACCACCAACTTTTCAGTCAGCAAGTTCAGCAACTCAGTGGTTTAACCTGCTGCACCACCAAAGAGTATGTAAGTGCATTTTTTTCAGTATTATCTTTCCTGTACTTGGTGACAACTCTGCTTTAAAGAATCTGATAAGGAACAATAAAGAAAAACACAACTGAACCTATTCAGTTGTTGGTTCCTTAGAAGACTCAGATGGTACAGTCTCTGCTGGGTCCTCTTAACCAATGCTGCCGTATGAGTACCCCAGGTCAAATTGTCCTTAACAGCGACACTCAGTGAAACTGGCCACCTGCTCCACTTGGTCTCCATTTATGACAAAGGGCTGAATTTCTGGTCTGTTCTTTCTATAGTCCACTAAGAGCTCCTTAATCTTATTGATGTTAAGAATCAGATTATTGTCCCTGCACCACAAGAGCAGCTGATCCATCTCATCCTGATATGTAGACTCATCCCACCACTCTTGTATCATCTGCAAATTTGGTAATTGCATTGCTATGGTGGATATAGGTGCAATCATACTGTACAAAGTGTAAAGCAGAGGCTCAACACACAGCCCAGTGTTGAGAGTGAGAACTGAAGAGGTGTGATTACCTAATCTAACCCTCTGGGAACATCCAGACAAGAAGTCCATAATCCAGGAACAGACTGAATATGACAATCCAAGATTCACTAGTTTAGACACCAGTCTATGTGGAGGATTGTATTAAACATGGAACTAAAGTCTCAATAAGCATCCTCACGTAGTTCCCCCATCATTCCAGATGGGTCAGAGCAGTGTGGAGCATGATGGCTATGGTGTCCTCTGTTAATCTGTTGGCTCTATTTGCAAACTGATGCTTGTTCAATGTATGTGGAAGGCAAGAAATGATATGCCTACACACCAGTTTTTCAAGGCACTTCGTGATGATGGATGTGAGTACCACTAGTCTGTAGTCCTGAAAATTACCAGTATGGAACTTCTTTGGTACAGGAACAATGATGAAGGCCTTCATACAAGATGGGATAATAGACTGTGATAAAGACCAGTTAAAAATCACCGTAAAAACACCAACCAATTGGTCAGCACAGTCTTTAAGCACCCAATGAGAAATGCCATCCAGTCCAGTGGCCTTCCTAGGATTTGCAACACACCTTACCTCATGTTCCTCCATAGTGAGGTTAGAGCTGTAACTACCCCATGGCTGAATTCCAGCTACCTCTGGTGGGCTTACTTCAAAGTGAGCAAAAAGGGGATTCAACTCCTCTGCCAATGAGGCATCCCCTTCAGCAGGAGTGTCATTGTTTGATTTACAGTTAGTGATTTGCTGAATCCCCTGCCACACCTTCCTCGCATTGTTACTGTGGAAATAATCCTTGACCTTCTTCTTATACTCCATCTTGGCTTGCTTGAGACTTGCTCTGGCCTCACTGTATTTCACCTCATTGCAGGGGGTTGTTTATTGTTGTTTTGTTTTTGTTTAAAATTTACTTTGTCTTGCTTTGAGTAAAGTCGGGGCATGCTTTGGAGGTTGCTGGAAACTCTGGAGTATCCCACAAATTCAGGGTAGTCTGGACAGCATGATTCAGTTCAGTTTCCTGATTTAGCTGCCCAGAGGGATACTCTTGCTGTTGCTGGGGGTACATTAAGAGAAGTGGTGGTTTTCATGAAGCTTTTCCTTGATTTCAGTCTACTGAGAGGATGGCTTTCACAGTGTTCAACCTTATTTCTCTCACAGCAACAATTTCCCATCGCACATTTGGGGGGGGGGGGGGGGGGTGTGAGGGCAATGCCAGCTAGCTTGTAGAGTTTAGTTCCATGTAGTGGTTAGAGAATTTTCTTGGGACTCCAGAGATCCAGGTTCTAGTTCTCATTGAACCATGACACTCACCAGTGCCAATTTGGCTTGTTGTGGAAACACAACAAGGATTGATGGGAATGCTTCAGTAGAGACCTCTTTTCCCCATGATAAATTTTTCAAGAGTGA